GAAACCCCGCGGAGATTTTGCAGGAACCCTCACAAAGCTCCATTGCTGTTTACTTGCAATTTGAGAGTCCCCCCAAAGCCCCCCACCCCCCCGGTACCCCCCATCCCCCACAAAAAGGCCTCTTCTGGCCCAGACCTCCATTCTGGGCTCGAAACCCTCGGTCTGGGCCAATGAGGGCTCATCTTGAGTGGTTCGAGGGGAGCAAAATTCGGTTTTTTGCTTTGGAATTTGTGCCTTGGTGATCGCGCCCCCTGTTGGCTCCTGCAGGTGGGCAGTGGGACTCCAGCAGAACCCTGCGCAGGAAATTGTCCGAGGTTTTTCCATTTTTGCTGAGCAACCCTGTGAACAACTCACTTTGTGGAGGGAGTGGACAAAAACAACGTGTTCAGAATTAATTGCAGTCATTCTCCCACCTCCCCCACAAACTCGTAAAATCCCACAATCCAATGCGTTTGGGGGTACTGTATTTTGGGTTCTTGGCTTTACACAAAGGGTTCGCCGGGGATGTTTTGAATCTGGGGCAAGTCTTTTATGAACTCTGGGATTTCCAACACCTTTAGAAGATAAACATCGGAGGTTTTGCAGAGTTTCACGTCATATTTCCGACCGGGTAGGTAGCTGCTCCTTTGCGCCATGGCAGCGTGAACCCCTCGGTCACGTGTCCACCGTCCTCATGGAGATCAGAAAGGCAATTCTTCTTCATGAGTGTAGTTTAAGTGAAGCCCTTCAAACCTTTTCAGCCTTTCGGAGCTTGCTGCATTGTCATCCTCAAATTGACCACAGTTACGTAATGACGCTTTTACTCCTCCATCACCCTCTTAAGATCAGGCAGCTGGTCTTGCGGCTCGACGGTTTGAAAGAGCTGCATCAGCTGTCCGAAAGCCTTGTAGCCGTTCTGCGATGGAACGCCCTCGGCCCTTGTAACTGCCCTTTCCACCTTTCCCTTCCAGTTCCGGACGAAGGTGCTGTGCATTATTGGCAAGTTCACTACGGACTATGTCTGGGCACTTTTTCGGCCAACAAATCTTCAGCCAGCAGTCTGGAGTCTGAAGGGGTTAGAATCGTATTGGCTTTGTCTGGAACCGAAGCTGTCCTCCAAGTAGCCTTCGGCCGAAGTGAAACTTTCCGCATCTTCGCCTTCCACCTTCGCCCCCCACCTTCGCCCGTCTTAGCTTCAGGGGCCAAAGTTTTTGTGCTGGCCTTCAGCTTCAGGTCGCACCTCAAAGCAGCGAACAGCTGCTCTTGTTCCGCCGGGTTTTGGGCGTATCTTCTGGAAAATTTTTAAAAATGTGCAACGGTGAAGGTCTATACAAGCTTGGACCCTTGGTGTGAAGCACTCTCCATGGCAATTTTTTCAAATTTTACAAAATGCAAGTTTCAGCACTTTTCAAGGTTTTTGGAGTTAATTTTCATTGTTTGCAGGCGTCGCTGCAGTAGTCTTAGCCGGAATTTACCCAGACGGAAATTTCTGAAAGCTGCATATTTTCAAAAATTTGGATTTTTGTGAAAACCATGAAAAATGTGTTTTTTTTTTCCTTTTGTTCAAAACTTTTTTGTTTGCTTCCATTTTTCCTGGCAAGATAGCATGGAGGAATTCCAAATGATTTTTTTTTAAACCAACCATTCCATTGGACGCCGCGTTTCTTGCAATGTTTTTTGAAAATTTTCAAAATTTTAAATTTTGATCCAAACCAAGCCGGTTGGCTTAGTTGCAAAAAGTTAGTAAGGCTTATTTTGTTTTCAGATCATTTTGTTAACAATGTTTCTTAAGGAAAAGTTGAAAAAAAACATTAATTGATGTTTTTAGAATTGTGCTCAAGCGATTTTGTTTCTGAACCAAGGCATTGCAAAATCAGTATTTACACTGCAGACTTTGAAATGCTTGAAAACCAGTGTTTCCTGTTTTAAATGTTTTTTTCATTTTTGGAAATTTTGAAAACAATCTGCTTTGATCAAGGCAACTTCGAAACCAGTGTTTTAAATGTTTTTCATGTTTGAAATTACAAAAATAATTTGCTTAACAGAGCATCTCCAATTTGCTCAAGTTTGGTGTTGCCTTGCATGTGTCAAGCCAGACAGCTGAAAAACACAGCCAAAGTTTTTTTGAGGTTATGTTTCTTTGCTGGTAGCTTTGTTCAGCCTTTGCAGGTGCAAACAGGAAAAAATGCACGTTAAGTCAAGCAGCAGAAAAAAAAATGGGCTGAGTTTGAAGTCTTGGCTTTCACGCGAACAGGGGAAACCGGTAGATGGGCTGCGACAACCGCAATTGCAGACCGCGACGGCGACGCGTGGGTGGTGGTGGCGGGCCGTGGACATGAGTCATGACTCAATGACTCATGACTCATGACTATGACATGACTCATGACTCATAACTCATGACTCCCATGTCTTTGCACTTTCGTTTGATGTTGGTTTGATGGTAGGTGCGCCGTCTCATCCCTCTTTGAATCTCATTGCTCTAGCTTACTGGGGCGCTGTTGCGTCGAAGAAGCAGTGGAGGAAAAAAATGACTCATGACTTCCACAAAATACATTCTGTTTTTTTTGAACGCCGCGTTTTTTCTAATGTTTTTTAAGATTTCCAATATGTTAAATTTTGATCCAAAGCAAGCCGGTTGGCTCAGTTTCAAAAAGTTAGTATGGATCATCTTGTTCATTTCGTTGACAATGTTTCTCAAACAAGGAAAAATTGAACAAAAATCAATTAACGTTTTTTTTTGATTTTGTTTTTCAGGCAAGTTTGTTCAGAGCGATTCTGTTTCTAAACAAGGCATTCCAAAATTGTTATTCATATTGCAGACTTTGAAATGCTTCGAAACCAGTTTTTTTCTCTGTGTTTTAAACGTTTTTTCATGTTTGAAATTTTAAAAACAATTTGCTTTAAAAAACGTAGCAAAAGAGCATCTCCAATTTGCATCTCAAGTATGGTGTGGCCTGCATGTGTCAAGCCAGGACAGCTGAAAAACACAGACCAAGTTCTTTGAAGTCCTGTTTCATTGCTGGTGGTTTTGTTTCAGCCTTTTCTGCAAACAGGAAAAAATGCACGTCAAGCCAAACAGCAGGAAAGAAAGATGGGCTGAGTTTGAAGTCTTGGCTGGATTCGACGCGAACAAAGCTGAAAGGAAACCAAGGCAGTTTTTCATTGTTCATGACCCGTGTTTGTGGCCGATGGGTTGCGGCGGCCGCAATGACTCACGTGACTGCCGTGACTGTGGCTGTGACTGTGACTGATTCATGGTTCCTGATTCATGATGATCTCATGACTCATGACTCATGACTCGTGGCTCATCATGATCTCATGTCATGAGTCATGACTGAATGAATGATTGATGACTGATGATTGATGATTCATACTTCACAATGCATAATGATTCATGATGCGATGCGATGATGCGATTATGATTGATGCCAATGCCAGGCAATGCGGCGGCAATGCCAGTAGGTAATGGGGCCATGTAATCCATGTGGCCCCCTGATTTGATGCCAAGCAGAGAGTGCTTCGCACCCCCATTTTGCCGTCAGGCAAAAAACCCAAGTCCAGGCTGCATCCAACACGAAGCTGCGGGCAAGACGAAGCGAGCTGATGCGGTTCAACTGGGGGCGGTTAAGGCTACAGGCAAAGACGCAGGTTGCCTTCTGATTACAGAGCTGGATTTTTGGTGCCTTAAACTGTTAGGCACCAATGGTCCAGCTGCTGCTTAGAAACTTTGTTCTAGCGTTTGCGCGCGCGGCCTGCGGCCATCTTGCCTAAGCTTTAGGGTTTTTTTGGAAAACACTACGCTGCGCACAGCGATGCCATCTGTGACCATGTGTTTTGCCACCACTTCTTGCAGCCTTAGCAGTGGGTCCCTTTCTTTTCTTTGCAGGTCAGGTTAACAGAACGCTGATTTCGCGGATGCTAAGACAGTTCGTGTTGTGCGAGGTCAAGTGCTGCTTCTCAGTTAAGGGGTGCAAGTCTCGTAATTGGCGAGAGGTGCACTGCTGCAAGTTTTGTAATTGCAAGAGTTGCGCGCAAGCTGTTGCATGAGGTTGTTATTGTGGACGTAGGAGAGGAAAGAGGGAAGAGTTTGTAAGCTTTGCTCTTGGAATTGTTTTTTCCTTCCAGCAACTTATCAAAGGAAACAAACAAGCCCGAAAGATCCCAAAGCTCCAACCTGAAGCACAGCTTGCTACACCAAGCCAAGAACCAGACGAGCCAGCGTCTGCAAAGGACTTTGCCATGGCTGCGCCGGGTGGTTGCCTGTCTGGGTATAATCGCAGGTCTTGGATGTAAGAGTGCCCGTGCCGGGTGGTTTCACCACCGTGGTCTACTTACAAGGAGTTCCTAAAGCAAGAAGGCCTTGCCATCAGCGACAAGCTGTCGAACGCTTCCCATTTACAAGAATGCAGACAAGCTGACGCGGTGGGCAAAAGAGACCGTGACAAAATGATGGACACACGCTTTCAACCCAACTTCCAGGAAGAGTTGAAGGTACAGTGGGAGCTGGTCGCCGAATGAGAAGTTCACCTTCGCAGTACTTCGCAGTGCAGCCGTCGGTCACTGCGGAGGACCCCACCATGACTCTGGAGGAAACTTACCTTAACGTCATGGTCTATGCCGACGTGAACGAGAAGGTGCGCCGTGTGTTCGCGTCGCGCTTCACGGACCCAGCAATCTTCACGGCGCCACGACCGTGATTTTGATCACGACACGGTGCAGATGTGCGCCGCTTGCCGAAAGATGTTCCGTAGTGACAGGGGCTCCGCCGGAGTCATGTTCTCCCTGGGCGATGTCGTGTTGCTCACTTCTGCCTGCGGATTGTGTGAAACTGTTGTCGGTGGCACCGTGAACTCCGATAAGTGTGTCCTCAAGCCATCCCTTGCTAAGGGCAGGATGTCCATCATCTCGCGCGCCATGGGCTCCAAGCTCGTGAAGATGGTGCGCAAAGCCGACAGCGGCTCAGAGACCATCGACGGGGAAGCTGGTCGGCGACAGACGAGGAGGTCTTGGCCTTGTCGGCGATGGCTGTGAAGATCGAGAGGCGCTATGGATGGCCCATGTACATCGAGTGGACCCGGAACGGAGGTAATGGGAAGCTGTACATTGTGCAGGCTCGTCCGGAGACAGTTGCCGCTCAGAATCACCAACAACGAGGAGCGCGGGGTGGGAGCCTGTGGTGCAGAAGGCCGGTGTTAGCTGCGTGCGTAAGTCATGAGTTGCGTGACTTGATCTGCCGCTCTGTCTCTGAGGCGGCTGCCATCACCAACTGCGGTGGCCGCACTTGCCACGCAGCCATCATGGCGCATAAGCTTGGCATCCCGGCCATCGTCGGTTGTGGAGATGCCACGGACAAGATCAAGGAGGGCGACGTTGTCACGGTGTTTTGTGCCGAGGGCGACACCGGGTACATCTACAAGTTCAAGAAGAACGCTTGAAGAATTTTACTGCCCGCGAAGCTACACGTGCTTGGTGGTTTAGGGTTTAAGGGTCTAAGGGTTTCGGGCCTCGGCATGGTTTAGGGTTTAGGGTCCAGGGCTTTTTGGGGTTTAAAACATCGGGAGCCCAAAAGCAGTATCCATACCAGAAGTACGTTGATGCGGGCAGCTATATGATACTTGTACGGCTGTGCGGGAGCAGTGCCTGCTGCATGTGAGGGAGTGAGGGAGTGAGTGAGCGAGGCTTATCTGCAACTTGCAGATTGTTTTCAGTCTTATGGAGGTCTTGGATGGCTGAGGCCCGTGCGTTTCTGCGATGCGACAAGAGGTTGCGCCTTGTCGTTGACATGTGTTGAGTTGACGCTTGCAAAGCTTGGAAATGATGCAATTGGAAGAAGATGGCGCTCCCTCTGCCACACATACCTGTGGCACGCCGATCAACCAGCTAAGCTGCTCACGCCCTCAATCTGTGAGAAGATGTGTGCTTGGAGTTTGTGTCGCATTGCGTATTCCCAGCCTCGAAATGCAGGCTAAACCTTAAACCTCCAAAATAAAGACATCCAAATAGGTAGTAGTTGCAAAATAGACCCCAAAGTATTCTCTACCACAAATTACCCTGAAAATCCCAAATACAAGCAACACCAAATCCCAAAAGTCTTGTCTTCCTACATCCTAAACCCCCTAACACCCAAAAAAAGAACAGATACCAAGTAGTCATATTCATAAATATATCCCCAAAATATTATGCCGGCGTAGACCCCAACAGTGAGGAGGGCCAGAAAAGGCCAAAGAAGGCCAGAAGAGCACCGACACTCCCGGGGACAAAAAGTACAAAAGTTCGTGGGGGCCGAATTCCCTTGGGGGTCAAAAGGACGCCAACCGTTGGGGGATTCGGCTTTGCACACGTGTGGAACTTTTCAAGCGTGTCGCAACCCCCCAAGCCACCGTTCAGGATCCGACTTACACGACTCGCAATGCCTATACGCCAGCTATACAACGGTCTGACGAGACATGAAAAGCCAGCTAAAAGCTCCGGAATATACGCCGAAACGAAGGCCCCGCCCCACCGCGTGCAAGCCAGCAGAGGCCGGAATTCACGGAAGCGTCGCGCGAAACCACAGTGGGAGCATCGAAACGCACCGGAATTCACGCGAAACCACAGCGGGAACATCGAAACGCACCGGATTTCGCGCGAAACCACAGCGGGAGCGTCGAAACCAAGGCCCCGCGAGGCCGGAATTCGCGCGAAACCATAGCGGGAACATCGAAACGCACCGGAATTCGCGCGAAACCACAGCGGGAGCGTCGAAAACAAGGACCCGTCCCACCGCGCGCGCCCTTGCGGTCGGCAACCTAAGTGGCCCTCCCAGAAGAGGCCTGAAGAGGCCAGAATTCGCGCGAAACCACAGTGGGAGCATCGAAACCAAGGCTCCGCGAGGCCGGAATTCGCGCGAAACCACAGCGGGAGCGTCGAAACCAAGGACCCGTCCCACCGCGCGAGGCCTGAAGAGGCCTGAAGAGGCCAGAATTCGCGCGAAACCACACCGGGAGCGTCGAAACCAAGGCCCCGCGAGGCCGGAATTCGCGCGAAACCACAGCGGGAGCGTCGAAACCAAGGACCCGTCCCACCGCGCGAGGCCTGAAGAGGCCACGCGAGGCCGGAATTCGTGCGAAACCACACCGGGAGCGTCGAAACCAAGGCCCCGCGAGGCCGGAATTCGCGCGAAACCACAGCGGGAGCGTCGAAACCAAGGACCCGTCCCACCGTGCGCGACGTTGCGGTCGGCAAGCGAAGTGGCCCTACCAGAAGAGGCCTGAAGAGGCCACGAGAGACCGGAATTCGCGCGAAACCACAGCGGGAGCATCGAAATGCAGCGGAATTCGCGCGAAACCACAGCGGGAGCATCGAAACGCAACGGAATTCGCGCGAAACCACAGCGGGAGCGTCGAAACCAAGGCCCCGTCCCACCGCCACGCGCGCTGTTGCGGTCAGCATCCAATTCCCTTTACTCTGAACGTAAGAACCCCATCGTGCAAGCACTGTTTGGGGAACAAATGCCCGGAAATATATAGGCAAATCCCACACAAAATATCCCAAAATCCCCAAAAATAAAATATGTCATAGACCCTAATGCATAACATCTAAAGTCCCCAACCTTGCCCGATGGACCGTAGATACAAAGAAAACTATTTTGACTATTAGAATGAGAGCGGGACGACCTCATTTACGACACTGACCTCTTCAAGTGCAAAGCACAGTCTCTTCGGCCATGCAGGTGCACGTGTCCGAGAGAAAGCTGAGCTGTGCAACATTGCAGAAACTTCCGCATTCAGGTTGAGAATGATGCGGAATTTGGGACTAAACCTGGTTGCATCGTGCGCCCGCACGTTCTTGATGTCTGGACAGGATGGAGGAACCACTGCAGTTATTTGCAGAAGTAAGTTCCAGTGTACAGATGCACTGACCTTCTGGCAAGCACAGCGGCCATAACTTTAGACAAGCCATGAGCAGTTCAGCCTAGCCAATTGTGTAGCATGTGTGGGGAGCCTGAAAGTGGTAATCACCAAGTCCACGTCCATAGCCTATCTCGCAGGATTCGGAGGTTTCCTAGCAGTTGGGGGATCTGAAGAATCGCTTCCAAAAAGAAATCCTCAAACATTGTGGAAGTTCACAGGCCATCAAATCATGAAGGCTTTCACATTTCCGGCTTTAGACCAAAAAAGTCCTCAACAACGGCAAGCATTTGAGCTATGACACTACAGACGTGCAGACAGCAATGGTTTGAGTTCACCAGGGTTGTTAAAGATCCGGCATTTACTTCGTCCTGAGCCGACAAGAGCCATGCCAGTGCCAATCAAGGTCGTTAAGATGGCGACGATGCTGGGTGTGGCAATTCTTGGAACGGTTTGTAGCCTGAGCTTTTGGGCCGACCTGATCTGCAATGAGCCGATACGGCCGTCCAAGCCGTTGATGCCGTCCGTGCCGTCAGCTTCGGAGCTTTCAGGCATAGTGGATCACATCGGGAGTCCTCGAAAATATTTCGTTGGATTGTGCAACCGGAGCTACACAATTCCAGAGGTGTACGATGCTTTTGCAGCTCATTCAGTTGAGTGGTCGATTTTGGGGAAGACTGATCCTTGGTGGAGTGTCATTTCTGTCCCTGATTTAAAAGGAAAGGTGGACCTTCCGAAGGAACAGAAACAGCACTTTTACGCATCTGGAAGGTTTGATCGTGACAGGATTCTTCGAGATGTACGAGCAAATGGGAGCAGGCCATTGGACAATGCTTCCATTTCAGTGTTGGATTTTGGCTGTGGGGTCGGGCGCTTGGGAATGGCCTTCGCATGGAAATTTGCGGACGTGACCTGCGTGGACCAAAGCGTCTTTCATCTGCAAATCGCACAGAAAGAGTGGCAGATTCAGAACAAGCGCGCGAAAGACGACCGCACTCCGAAGGGGCAGCTCAATCTGAAGGTGTCTGGGCCCGATTTGCTTGCTGCTGTGGCTGGGAAAAGGTTCGACTTTGTGTATTCGATGATTGTTTTTCAACATATGATTCCACCTCTGCAAATTGTCTACTTGGAGCAAATGTGTGACATATTGAAACCTGGAGGGCAAGGATGGGTTCACATTCCCACCATGATACCGGTGGGCTTGGCATTGACACCTTGTGACGTGCGCCGCTCCATGAGAACAGGAGGAATCCAAATGTATAATACTCCGAAGGATCTTCTCGAAGGAAGTTTCAGATCACGAGGCTGCAATGTCACAGTGCTTGAACGAGGCAATGCCTATATCAATCCGGGCAGTACTGCGGGCATCATCTTCTTCAATAAGTAGAACCGCATCAGTACATGTCTTTCATGAGTTGGCCGACCAAGGGTCTGGTCTTTCTGGTTTGGTCTGCTCACCAGGCTGGTGAACAACCTGTGAGTTGGAGGTTCTTGGACACCCGGTCCCAAAGGGACGCAGTTTCCCCTAATTCAACACGGTTTAGGATATCCCGCCGGGCACACACGCTCACTGAGACAGAGCAAGCAGGATGCCGGAAAGTGTGGTTCAAAGATGAGACAGGGGTTCAGGGTTTCGAGGTTGGGGTTGAGGGGTTGAGGGTTTGGGGTTTCCACTTTCCACACAAGCCATACACACCCGAAAGTGCTATCTCTTGTCCTAACAGGCTGAAACTACATGCTCCATAGCAAGGTAGCATTGCAATAGCGCTTGTGAGCTCACCCGCCTCACCTCTACCTGCTCAGCCTCCGGTACAGGGTTTAGGGGTATTTTGCGGTGGTGAGCATGCTGAGGGTAGGGATGAGAGGTTATAGGGCTTATAGATAGCCTCGAGTTTAGGAACGTTTGTGCTCGGAGGACGGGGGACTACGTCTTTTTGTTAGGGTTTAGGGCTGAGGGGTTTAGGGCATAGGAAATGGGAACGAACCGATTGGGATTGGGGAGATACGTGCTTTAGGCAGGGCCGTTGGTCATAACAAGAGCAGCGTTCATCGAACAAATTCTCTTAGTTGGTTGGAAGCAGTGCTTTCAGTTGAGGGCCTTGCGTTGTGGCTGGTGCTGAGCCATGTTGGGGCGGGATGACAGCACTGACAGCCCGCTAGGATCTGCCTCCAAAGTAGTCCCCTGTGATATGTAACGGCGTGGATGTCCAATAGCACAACTCCCGTTGATTCAGACTTCGTGGTCGGACCGTCTGCAACATGTAACATGAAACGATGGACCGCTCAGGGAAGACGCCAGGAGCAGCGCTGAACACAGGTGCAACAGCGAATCATGAGGAGGTGTTGCCTAGAGAATGCCAAACCCTACACCCTCAAGTGGCAAACGATGTAAACATTGCAACGGACTCAATATCTTTGGCAGATGCCAGAGCTAGACAAAGAGGTTCAACTCGTTCATGTTCCGGCTGGCGCGACTGTCGCAGCCACACGCGCAAGTGCCGAGCCAACAAATAGCTCAGCGCGCGGCATGAACCAACAACCCAAGCCTCAAGAAGAAGTGTTCAATGAACGCTGCTTTTGCTATGATCAGATTAGCCTCGGGCCATCCAATCAAATTTACAGATGACTGTGTCCGACTGACGACAAACGCTGCGCGGTTTCGGTTTTGCATTGGCGCTGCGTGCATCTTTGCTTTGGAACCCTTCGCCCGCGATGGCATAGCTTCCTATGCAGCCGGCCCTCTTTTAAGCGCCGTAGCTGCCTGACCCTTCAATTCTGCAACTGGTTTCGCACGACCACGTTCAGCCTGTAAATGCTGCAAGATGACAGTCGTTAACAAATACCCGGTATTGAAAAGGCACCAGACAGCACCCAAAGGCCACGTCCCGAAGGTGAGGATTGTAGTCCGCTTTCTTGTGTTATTGATGACATCATTGCGCTTAGTTGTTCTTCATCTTCATCTTCATCATTCCTACTTGCAGGCCACGGTGGGGGGTGGAGGAGGCGGTGGAGGGGCCGCAAGGCTACAGCAAGGGTGCCAGGGTGGAGGTGGGGCGATCTTCGGCTGCGCGGGACCCGTTCCAGGCAAGAAACATCGGAGAACAAAAGCAAAAGGGACGCGGGGCATCAGGCATCAACCTGGGGGCTTCCGAGAGCGGGACTAGGTGGTACCTGAGAATGCTCCCCAAACTCCTACGACCCGAGGCCTCGCCGGACACTTGCATTCTCAACTATTGCTCGTCAGGCCAGTGGGGACCTTGACATCCGAAGATCCACTGCAGCAACTTACCTCGCAACTTGCATGGTCCTGTTCCAGGAGCTCTTCGAATACGTACAAAATGTAAAAGCGCGTGATGACGCATGTCTCTGGGGATATTAGGTCCGCCATGTGGAGGAGTGCCCGAGTGCTTCCAGCTGTTGCACGGACACACCATCAATGTGGCATCCACTCGCTGGAAGCTTGTTACAAGTGCGTGAAATGCAACAAAGGTTTGGCGCGTCCCTGCTTGTTGAAAAAACCTTAGGCGCCTCACGAAAACTTGTGAACTGATTGCAGACTACTTCGCGCCGACCATGGCCGCAGTCACAAAGATGCTGTTCTGGGCGTCCAATGATCTGCCCTGCAGGGCTTCTGCATCCCGCGTCGCGCAGACCTGTTTCACTGACATCGCCTAAAATCCGGGTGTCCTGTGGGTCATCATACGCATACCCCATACCCTAGTCTGCGTTTCCCCTTGCAGCCCTGCAAGTGTCGGCCTGAAGCCTCCGCAGGGGGGCCTTTATGAAGCGGCCCCCCCCCCCAAACAGTAAGACTCCCCTTGTAATAGTCAGGGAGCCTCCCAATAAGTACCCCCCGAATTTCGGAAACCCCGATTTCGCGGTTCTTCGGCTCAAGGAAGCTTTTCGGGCGTCCTTCTAAAAGTCTGGAGAGCCGGGAGCCGCAGGTCACCGGGTTCCGTCGGCAACGTGGCAACGCGTTGGCTCTTTGAACCGCCAGCTTGCCACAAGAACTTGCGCAGGAGGTCACAGTGGGCGATTAGATCTTGGGCCATTGCTTTTTGATTCAGAGTTGGTCCGAAAGGTATGACAGGTATGAAACATGTAATTCTCAGCAAGGCTGCGCACTTGAAGCCACCATCATATCCTAGACACAAGGCAGAAGAAACCTTAAGGCCATTGCAAGCTCATGCAGACGGTGGGACCCCAAACTCCAACCACCGAAAACTAGCAAGAACGGACACCCCGAGGCACGATGTCCAACAACGAAATGTTCGATTGGAAGAGAAGCTTGCAGCCAGCCGGGGTCCCAAATGGTTGAGTTCAGGGCTTGGGGGTTTAGAGATGCCGGGGCCCCAACCCCAGAATGTGTTATTTTTCGACCCGGGGTTCAAGGGCTTCAAGGGCAAGCATCAAGCCTTTGACGCCCCGAGACTTGTTTTCGGAAAGGAGATCACCACGAGACTTCCTCGCAAGGATCGTGCAATGTACCCTCTCACATGCTACCACCTGGGATCCCAGCTTCGAAAGCTGTCCTTGGCACATCGCACCTGCCTAAGTTGCCTAAGCTTTCCATGAGGTCCAGCGCAGCAGCTGGAACGAGCTCTTGGAAAAGGTGCCAGAGCCGAAGCAGACTCAAAGTCAGCTCCAAACCGTCATACTCACTTGTCATACCCGATCGTCTCCTCCCTGCTGCTGAAAACCCTTCAGGCCTACAAATGACCTCGAACTCAGGTGAACTCAGGCCTCCGAAAAGAGGGCACGTGACCAAGCCATGCCTAGAAATTCAATTAAGCGTTCGGGGGATTGCTCTTGTAAGGGACCTCCGAACCTCCTGGAGATGCTTTGCCTCCTCAAGTCGACAAAGCATGGACCTGACAGGTGCAGGTGAAAAACACCTTCATTCATTTCCTCCACGCCATCGACTCATCGGATGAGGAGTGTGGGCCGTCTCTGTTCAACTTATCTCCACCGTGTTGTACCTTTTTTCTCATTTTCCGAGGGTTGTTTTTGTCACAGTGCCAGGAGCCAGACGAGGAATTCATGTGGGGAGCCCAGTGTTGCAGATTCTGTTGCAACGAAAGAGCTTGGAGGTAAGGACTCAATGTTAAGGCTATAATGTCAGACTGTGGTTAGAGCGGTTCCTCTTGCACCCAGCCGTTTCCCCCAGTCCTTTGAGAATGCTGAGACATGCGCGGGAAGCCCTTCAAAGCCTTCGAGAAGCCCATCGAAGCCCCCAAACCTCAGCCCCAGAACGTTGAAATGCCGGAAGCCTGATCCGTTTGGCTCCGCGCGATTCAAGAGTCTGCAAAGTCCTGAAGTCCCAGCCGTGGTCCAGACGTTCGCGACCCCCCACAGCTCTCAGGCTTCCCTCGGCGCTTAGGAGGACGGCGTCCGATCCAGGAAAGTTTGTGGCACGCCTGCATTGTTTCTGAGAACCCTTTTGGAGTTTTGGGGGGCGGGTTTTGGGGAAGGACAGCTAGGTGCTCTTCCCCATGCTTGGTGTGTTGGTGGATTTTGAGCCAGCTCTGCACTCCTTCCTGATATCCCGGGTCTCCTCGACCGGCTGTCTCTTACCCTCTACCCCTAGAGCATTCCGCAGAGTCTCCCTGGAGTTAGGAGAGCGTTGCATGACAATCCCACAGCATTCCATCGAATACCCCTGGGCAAATGCAATCATTCCCACTTTGCATTTTGAGCAGACTCCCCCAAACATGAAACGAATAGGTTTTCTCCATATGCACGATTTGCAGACCACGTATCCATTACATTCAACCATTACAACATGAAGCCGTTTCTTTGAGGGAAGGGTTAGGGGCTTTAAGCCATTTAGCCCTGCAGGGGAAGCATTTCGATGGTGGATGATGGCTTAAGTAAGGTTTAGCTTCGTTCTGTAACTTTGATGGTTCCATTGTTCCATTGTGAGTAGGTCAGAGGAGCCCCACAGGCAGTTTGGAACATGTTCCGAGTCCCAAATCCCAAGCCCGAGCCCTGAATCTCAAGCTGTTCAACCATCCTAAGTGCCACCTTAATCCAGTCCCAAAAGCCCCGAACCCTGCAGCTGTTTGGATTTCGGGGAGCGGAGTTCAGGGATGATCTTCTTGAAGGTCCACGCCTGCCGAAGTTCGGGAGGCATATTTGTTTGCCTTGTAAGTTTGAAAGCATTTCAGGGTCGGGAGTGAGCATCCACGAGAGCGGCTCAGGCTCCCGCTGATGTTGGCGATGCCTCCACGAAGGCCTCATTGAGAGGACGAGTTAGCAGAAAAGAGAACACACCCCCTCTGGCCCCGTACTAAGCAACACGACTTGCCTTCCTCAAGCCCAACTCCAAGCCCGAATGACTCAAATGATTCTCCCATGTTCAGCAGCAGGGCAAAGGACTACCGGTCCAGGGGCCCGAAAGGTTCGGATTCTCGCACCAGGTTGCAAGTGAGGTGATGCGGCTATGAGATCCAACTCATCAAGTCTACTTAGCAATGGAGGCGGGTGGAGGAGAGTCCTCACGTAAGCGATGAGAGTCCTCACGTAAGCGATATCCATCGCGGTTCAGGGTTTCCTGGCACGGGATGCTCAGGGACTGGAAGTCTGAAACCCTGGAACCCCCAGCCGAATCCCTTGCACCGTAAGCGGCCTCAACTCCTTGAAGTCAGCGCTTGCAGGCTCCCTCCTCGCTCGCAAGCTCCACGCATGCCTCAGGCACGTTAGGGATTCCTGAGTACAGGTTTAGTGGCCTGCTCGGGCCTTTTTCTTGTGTGCCCAAGGCAGGCCAAACAGGCACTGGAGGTTTACGGAGGTTCAGGGTTCGGAAGAGTCCCTGCTGAGGAGGAATTGAGGGGCTTCACAGGCCGAGACCTCTTGAATGGATGAGGTCTCCTGAAATTGTCTAGAGAATTATGCATCTAGAGGTCGAAAAAAGGTTCAAGAGAGGGCCCTCAAGAACTCGAAGCCTTTTTAGGCATTGCATCCAAGCTTCCCCGGGCCGTGGGGTTGTGCTTTCACAATTACCACTGCAAGTTTTCAGTCTGTAGGAAGCTTTAAGAATTTGTTGCATAGTCATCATGCAGATCCTAAGCAGTCGCAACTTGCAGTCTGTCTTTGCAGATGGAGGTGCAGTCTCTGTGGCCTAGGGTCTTGGATCAAGGGGTCGCATGCCGGTGCGCCTTTGCCCCTTCCTCTCTACCAGCTTCTCAGTCTGCTCTCTTGTCCAGCCATGTCCAGCCATGTCCAGCCTCGCTGCATCGACTCTTTTTCGTCAGCTTTGGTTTTGCTGTGGTTTTCTTGGCTGCTGCCTACTTACCTCACCTTCTCTGCACAAACTCTGCGCAGGCGCCTGAATGATGTTTTAAAGGTTGGGACTCGCAACAGCCCGCGACACATTAAAGGTCTTTGGACCTACGGCCGTACATGGCCAACTGAGTAGCTTGCCGCTCCCTTTGTGCTCCTTCGTTACGCGGCAAGGCAGCATCCACAAGCAGCCACCGGGCACACTCAGAAAACTAGCTCGCCACGTTTCCCTACCGGTGTGTGGGGGTGGTGCAAGCTTTGGATTGCCCGATCCTGGCCAATTGCAATGATTTTTTGGGGTCTTCTGGAACGGGTGCATTCCACGCGTCGCTTCCCTGTGCAGAGGGCTGGATGTGAATTCTCAGCCGGTGCTTTCGCCAGAGCCACGAGAGCCCTGCGAGCTTTTCTTCGGGATGGTTGCAGGCATCGTGCAGTTGTCTAAACCAACACTTTGTCGCCTCCGAGACTGGGGTTAGGGCGGGGAGAAGGAAGGGGGGGGAAATGGTTGGGGAGGGTAGTCTTGATTCAGCCCTCGTCCGTCAGGTTACGTCACACCCGCTGATGGGACTGACGAGAGGCCGGTCGTTGGCAGAGGTCCTGGCTGGGGGGTTTTGCCATCGGTTTGAGGGGTTTGCCATCGATTTGAGTGCGGGTTTTCTTAGTACTTTACATGCTCCTGTGCGTGTTTTAGGTGTAGCTTTTGCAGGTTGGACCGTTTACGTTGTTGATCCTGACCTTCTTTGTGTGGACTCTACCTCCAATGCACAAAGTTCCAAAGTGAGGTAAAGCGACAAAGTTCTTATTTGACAAGAACTTGATTGCAGAATTGTGGTCCCTACACAGCTACTCGGCTTGCCATGCGCAGGCGCAATCACACACTGGGTCTTTGCCGACCCTGCGGTTACTTCATCATGAAGGAGCTGCGGATGTCCAGCTTGGTATTGGCGCTCCTTGTGCAGCCCTTGTGCAGCCCTTGTGCAGCCCTTGTGCAGCCTGCAGGAGGATGGCTGTCGGCGAGGCAGCGACTGTGACTACTGCCATTTGTGCACTGAGGAGGTGGGGGGGGGGCATCAGCCGACGTATGATGATGGAAGTTAGGTCGCAGCCTTTCATCAAGAGGTCCTCTGGTCAAGCCCGAGATCTGTAAAGGTGTCCCCATCCCAGGACTCCGAACCCTGAACAGCCCTGGGCTTGGAGCCTCACAGGACGTCAAAGCGCGCAAGAAGCGCAACAAGCACAAGGCTCGCTCGGAGAAGCGGGCCGCTGCGTGGGGCGGCCAAGGGATGGGGGAGGAGTGGGGAGGCTTCTTGTGGGTTCAAGTCATCTGGCCTGAGATGTTACGTGTGCACTCAGTCTGAAACAGAGGCCCCGGATCCCCAAGCACACCCCAAAAAACCCCAGATTCCTCAGCCTTTCGCTGGGCTCTCGTTTGCCTATCTTCCAGGCATCGGTTTTGGTTCTGCAGGACAGGGCCCGCTCAAGAGTCCCGAGTAAAGACTCATTACACAGCCACTCCACCCTGAACTTTTCCCTGAACGACTTGCGGACTTTCTGGACCCGGTTGTCAAGGTGCATCGCCAGAGCTGCGGCTCGTGCCCACGAACTCCTTCAGGACCGGGCCGCTGGGAGTTCGTTCGCATACTCTGAACTTGACGCCAACTGGCCCAGTGGTGCAAGGAGAGCGAGAGTCTGGACGAGCCGCACCCACAGCAGAAGGGCGGATCGTTTCGAGCTTCACGGTGCTTCCAGACAGCAAAGTTTGTCCAAGAGTTCGTGCGACAATTTACGAAGTTGAGGGCTGACATGCTGTTCTCAGGCCTGGGAATCTCAGTCTTGAGGCATGAAAGGCATGAAATCATGAGGTTGTCAGGAGGTGTGCATGTATACCGAACTTGTTACCGGATACTCTCAGGCGCCAATCCAAAATCTGAACCAGACCGGAAGTCCAACCCCTCAACCTAACACAACCACAAAAACCCCCCCAGAATTGTAAGATGTTTTGTTCCGAATCCGCCGAGAGCTCAGGCCGTAAGCCCTTGGCCAGACCTCACCACGAACTCTCCAGGTGGGGTTTGGGCTTTCTGCGTTCCGGAAGATCGGGTTCAGGGCACAAGCTTGGCGACGGTGATTGCAAGGAGGGGAGGGCTTCTCAACAAATAGGCTCGCCTGGCCTTTGGTGCACCTGCGCCGACACTTCTGATCGTCATGAAGTCATCTAATGTCACCTTTCTTTCTCCTTTTTGCTGCCTCTCAACTTCTTCATCCGTTCCATTCTGTTTCAGGCCTTTTCTGTCCCAGGCAGTGCACTGGGTCAGAACCATGTCTTTTTGGGCTCACGCTGGCTTATTGCAAGTCCTGGCTTACTGCAAGTCCTAGGGACCATGTAAGAGCAAGAGCCTTATTGAATCCAAAGCAAGCGTGGCGGCGCTCGTTTTCGAGCCACGAGGTGGAGTCTTTTTACAGGTTCCCAAACTTTCCCAAGGTTGCTAGAAGCTGGCAGCTTCAACCCCAACAAGTAAACCCGAAGCCCAACCCCAGCATACAACCCTCAGCCCGAAGCGCAAAAAGCGCAAAAAGAAACTCTCAAGATCCCATGTTCCTTCCGCCCAGCCTTGTTCGAGGCTTCTGGGGAGAGCTCGACTTAGGGTTCTCACCGCTGCCGCACGCAGAAGTCCATGGCAGTCCAGCGACTTGCCCCTTAGTTTCGCTTGACCGCCTCCCACCACCCCTCTGATGTTTTCAAGAGACGGCGCCTTCGGGTCTCGGTGAAGCCTCCGCGTTCCCCAGAGTTTTCGTGGAAGCCACGCATTCCGGTCATTTCTGAACATCCTCCAAGTCGATTCGAGAGGCGTAGGCGTTGCAGGCGAAGGTTTGGGGTTTGGGCATGTTAAGGTTTTTCGGCTGAATCCACCGCAGGTTTTTTGGAACATCTTGGACCCCTAAACCCGAAGCTGCAGGGGCGGGTTACGTAATGTGACGCAATGCGCGCCAGGCTTTCTTAAGTCGAGGAAAAGTCAGATACCGAAGTTTGTGCAGATGACTTGGAGGAGAGCCGCTCAGTGGCATCCGCGCCCTCGTACTGGTAGCTTTGTAGAGCTCTTGCTCTGTTCCAGCTCTCGCCACTCCCTGTAACGTAGTGATCCGTAGAGGGGCAGTTCAGTTCAGTTCAGTTCAGTGTAGTGTCGATAGTGGAGGTCAAATGAGTTAAATGCAGGGCCCAGCAACTTTGGGGGAAGAGCAACCCAAATGCTGACAGAGTGCGCGGGTAGTTCGAAGAGGAGTGGGCGCTTTAGTTGCAGAAGCTTGTGTGGAATGGCTGCTTTCTCTGACATGCAGACCGCGTTTTGCTTTTAAGAGTGAATGTAGACTCTGTCGACACTGATGTGGTGATGGGGCGGAGCCCAGCTTCTCGTATCTACTACTCATTTTTGTCAACAAAGATTTAGCAAGGGTGATGGTTGAAAAGGTTTGTGAAAGACATGGAAGGACCCTGAACGAATTTGCCAGGTTAGGTTGGCTCTAGATGGTTCCGAGGATCCGGGCAGGGCTTTTGAGAATTCAATTTCACCGGGCTGTTTCTATTTGAGAGAGGAACTCCGAGGAAGGATGATTGACAAGTCACGGTTGTGCCACTCCCTGCACGTTTTTGTTTGGGTGCTTGTCAAACCATGAGCCTGTCATTTCTCTGAGAAAGCTCCAGCTTGTGGATCAGCAGCACGTTTGCTGCCTGTAAGTGCATGACACCCAGGTCTCCAGGGCTCCGAGCCCCCTCAAGCTTGCAACTGCAACAATAACACCCGTCACGGTCTTCTGTTCAGCGTCTTGCGCTCACCGGATGCCCAGACCCTAATCGACCCCGCTCCCCAAGAGGTGCAAAACCTGATGCTGCGGCGCAACATGTGCGAGCCTTTCTTACTAAGAGACCCTATATTTTCTGCCCTAGAGAGACCTCAACACCCTGGAGGCCTCGATGCCAAGTTGCCACACTTAGTGAGAGTTAGATCTCCAAGCGATCCGCAGGATGTTGTTTTGTTCGATGTGGCAGCCTGTCATGGCTGCAGGGTTTTGGGCCCTAGGGTCTAGGGTGGCGTGGTATTCGTTGTAGCTGTTCAGGGGCCACATCGGTATCACTCCCAAAATAGCACGAGCTCTTAGACCACCCTTCCTCTTTAGACTTGAAGCATCAAAGCATCCGAGCCCGGGTCCTGCGCTCGCTTGGGGTTGTTTCCCCCACCTGAAGCTGAGATCTTCGGGTCCGGGGAGCTTTCGGCGGTGGGAGCAGCGCGGCGGATCCCAAACTAATCCTCAAAGATCCGAGCAGTGCCGTAAAAGGAAGTCCATGATTATCCATCGCAAAAAATCTTGACCTAGTTCCGCAGAGGTGAACCCTAGGTGATGCGCACGCCAAGCATGCAAGTACAAGCCATCCTCATTCACCCTATACTGCTTGCATTTGAAGCCCCGACTGCTGAATCCAAGCCCGAGATTCCAATGGCATCCCTGCGCCAGCTCGCATCTTGGGCATTGGCAACGTCTGACCCCGGAGGGGCAGTGGAAAACATCTTTCCGCCTTCAGCACCTGCGCAGTCTTCTGCGTAGGCTTGAGGTCTTGGTACCTTGCCTTGAACAGCCTTGCTGCCCTAATGCTACTGAGTACTGTAGGATCCAGAGTTTGGGAAAGCGAGCTTTCTGCTTCTATCTGCCGTAGCAGCGGGGGCCAAGTGAACCATGATTGCTTGTTACTTTCAGCCCCTCATGCGCCCCTCCACACTTAACGCGAAGAGCTACTTTGGCTCATCGCCCCCTCTCCTTACCTCATGTGGCATTGACCTCATCTTCGCTTTCGTTGGCCCTGATAGTGGTGAATATTGGGTTGGATCGGCGGCCTGCGTTCAAGGAGATACCTTGCACAAATGCCGGGAAAGGCTCACCATGTGCCCCCGGAGATTAATCACAATCTGCGCAGGTTGCAAAACAGCCGTCCCATTCTTGCCACTCCTTCCAAGAGATGCTGCCCATGGCTGCCCCGTAGCCGTAGCCTTCACGCCCCAAGTTTCGGGAACTGTGTGTGCCTGGAACCCTGAAGCCCGAGGCACACTGCAGGAACCCTCCATCATTTGAGGGAGGTGGCGCCTTTTCCAACTTTTTGAGACGGCATACCACGCCTGGCCCATGTCAGCACGTGGGCGCCTGCGTCTTTGGACCTTGGACCCTGTACTAGGCGGCCATCGGGATTTCGATTTCAGGCTGAAGGGTCTTCTAGAGTGCTTCGGGCCGACGGTTTGGGGAGTTCGAGTCGCAGTGAAGGGCCTTAGCAGAAAGGCCGAGAGGAACGTTCTGAAAGATGCAGCAGCCGGCCCGCGATTTGCATTTGGATGCATGAGCATGCTGAGTCTTATCTCCGAAGTCTGCGGCAACCCGGCAGAACTCGAATCCCTAAACTTCAAAGTAACACCCTTGCAACACTCTTATTTCTAAAGACCGCGCTCCAAGTCCTCGCCTCTGAACCCCTTAACTGAGAAAACTCCCTCGGGTTTTTAGGGGCCCCCAAACACTAGGATCCCCTCACAAAATAGTAGAAACACACAAAATACACTCAGGGGAGACAGGTGATACTGCTGATGCCAATAATGTGCCCCACATTTCGAAACCCCATACTGCCTGCATACAAATCACATTCGGCAGGCTCTGGATGAGCCCTGACTTTTCAGGTGGACTAGAACATGTTACCACAATATTATGTGTGTGTATGTATGTGTATATATATATATACATATTTTTTTTTTGAATATTTGTTGTTTTTCGTTGTTTGGGGTTCAAGGTTTGTTTCCTTCCTGCACAGCTGGATCTGATCTTAAAGCTTCCCTACAGTCCGACGTGGACTCCGGGTTCTGCTGCTTGCCTGGCCTTCGCGCGTTTCCGCGTGCATTTGTTGTCCTGGCAGCAGACTTGCTTGTCAGTGCTCTAAACGTGCATTGGCTGCTGTGGCTCTGTGCCTAAGCTCCTTCAGCCTTCATGCTGGCAATGTGCAACGACTGCAAGGGGTTTTGAGGGCACCAAGGGAATTACACTACGGCCTCACAGTATGACTTCGGCCCGGACCGGGGCGCAGCTGGACTGCTCGCAAGAAACACCTGTTCTCAAACCCACAACCAATCCATACCGATCCCCACACCCCAAGCCCCAAACAGACTTCCATCAAGGAAAGGCATCGCACCAGGCTATCTGAACACGAGGGAATCCTACGTCTTGTTGTTGGAGAGCGTGTTGGATGCATTTTTCAAAGGGAGCGAGTTTAGTTTATGGGGGTTCTCTCTCATGCTAAAAAAAGAGCTTCTGCTGATTCCATTGGGACGTCTTCGGCCTTCGGGGCTTGGCATCGAATTCGATGTTACAATGTTGGGTTCCCCAGAAGAGGCCTTGAGCCCTGAACCCGTGTTTTTTTTTTCGGATTCCTGAGCCCTTGCAGCCTGCTTCAAAGTCCTAGCCAGTAGCCGCAGCCTGCCTCTGCGCGATCTCCACTATCGTCCACAAGAAGTATGACGCCGACCTGAACTGCGCAGTGAAAACGACTCCGAGAGCCCGAGTTGTCCTCCTGCATGTGCCCTTTTCAATGGTATTTCATCCGCATCTGCAATCGAGGGAAAGTCCCTAAGCTTTCAGCCCCAAATCCCTACTGAAGTGAAGAAGGGGAGAGTCTCAAGCGTGTCCTACCGAAACCACAGCCCTGAAGAGTGTGAACTGCCAGGCTGTGCGGTCACCGGCGTCTCTGTGTTCATTCAGATTCCTAGCACGCCGAAATCAAGCCCCGGCATGGCCTGCAGGGTGGAGCCCTCCCGAACAGGGACCTCAAAACAGCAGCCAGCATGCAGGGCGCAAGGATTGCGCTTTAAGGAGACGAGCTCTCTGCTTCTGCTTTTGTGGCTCATTGGTGACCCTTTTGCTGAAGCAGGAGCCATGCAACACAGGGAACAAGGCATCCCGGAGTTCATCGAAGGTATCATACAGGGGTAGAAAGATACCAGCATGACTAGTGTAAGAACCAATATTCTTTTGATGTTACATAAGCTATATCTCAGGGACTCAGCAATGCAACAGCACAGTCATCTACTAAACTTAGAGCCCGCCAAGTGTGAAGCGGAGCTCAGACCGCAACCCAGATTCGTACTTTGACAGTCGCAGAGTGCACCCCGACACAACTTCTTCGGCAAGGGAAGATTAAGGTCAACAACGTCAGTGCTTGAACTTGGAAAGGGGCGGCTGTGCAGGTTTAAGGGCGCAGGGCCCGATTATCGGCTTGTTTTTTCACCCCGCCTGTATCGAGCCTCTGCGGCTCTGATCCGTGATGGAGCCGGAGTGCGGGGAGTACTTTTTGCTGAACTATCGCCGGGGGGCTCGGAGAATGGGTTCAGATTGGACGCTTGTGCCCAACTGACACGCGCCAGAGCGGAAGTGGTGGCGTTTTTGGCTTCGATGATGCCTTGTGGACCTCACCTTCAGCTAGTGCTCATGCGGAGGAGTTCACAGGGGTGTCATGTGGGCTCCCATTGAAGGGAGCCCCGCTCGATTTGAAAGAGGCTGCTGGTCTGGTGGTCGGGATTTCATGAGGGTTCGGGAAGCTTTCTTCCATTGCTGTTGGCAGCGGCAAAGGTCCAGCGCCCCTGCCCCTCAGCATCGAGAAGCTGCAGGGAAAGGCCCACGAGGCCCGGAGATTCGGGAAGCGTTTCGCGACCCTATTGCCTTGCATACAAAACGAAGAGTACGAGCGTGCAGTTTCATCCCAGGTCCACTGGGTGCTCCTAGCTCCCCTAGCTCCGGCCGTCGGCCGTAGGCCTTAGGCATTCTCTAATGATCTCTAATGCTACTGTATCGACGGCTCAACGTATCACCTGTGACCCAGAAAGGCCCCTGAATCCCAAACTGACACTTCAAGAGAGCATTGGAGGCCGCGACCGTGCTTCCGCCGCTACAGCGCCGACCCTGCGAGTCCACCACCTCCACCACCACTCCCGATGGCCCGATGGCCAAGACGAAGGGGATGCACATCACACCCGAAACCCCTAAACCCCTAAACTGCCCCAAGCCCTGCAAACCATAGCCCCTGAGCCGGAACCTCCAGCCTGGCAGGCAGTCCCAGAATGGGCTAACCCACCCTCAACTCCAGACTCTGATCACAACCCCAACCTGACAGACCCTGAGTCCCCACCCCGAGCCTTGATCCGAAGGGGCCCAACCCCACACTGCATCCCACGCTGCACACTTCGTCACTTCGTCACTTGGTCACTTGGTCACTTGGTCACTTCGTCACTTCGTCATAGGGCACCAACCCTGCAAACTCTTAGGAATGAGAAGCTTCAACTGGGGCTTGTTCGTTGAGGGCTTTTCTTGTGGACCCCCTTTTTCTTTGTTTCTTTTGGAAGGGACCCCACGAAAACACTAGTCCTGAGGGGCTGAACCCGAAAACCCTTGGACCCCTAAAATGCGAGGCTCCAGCGGCCTTTTCCGTCTCGCGCCGCCACCGCCACCGGTGAACCAGCGAGGGCCCGAAATCATTCGGAATCTTTGTAGGATTTCGATGGATTTGGGGTGGTTCAAGGCTTTCAAGGCTGCGCGGCTTCGGGAAGCTTAGGGCTTAGGGTTCGGCATTGTGGCATGTCCTGTTCTCCAGCTGGAAAATCCCAAGTGCATGGCCCATGGGGACTACGCCCAAAGGCTGAATCCCTTTGGGAGCCCTCAAGTGCGGAACTCCAAAGAAGCCCCTGAGCTGCCAACCCTAAGCCGTCTGAGCCCCCGCGCTGGCCTTTCACACCCTTGCCGGGGTGTGAATGAAGTGTGACTATCGTGGTGTGCATCAGCCTGGAACTCGAACCCTGACGCTCTACATGCCCTGTTCAAGGTTCAGCGTCGGCTCCAGGACAGCTCCAACCCTTGCAGCATGTGGCAGCTGATTTAGGGGCACCAGGGTTCCAAAATGTCCTTCAGACCTTCAACTCGGTACCCACTTCTGGGCAAATCGGGAAAGGTATGACATACCATAGACAGTGAAAAAATGTTTAGTAAACGATATACACTCTGTGTTGTATATTGCCTACTATATGGTATGTTGTCTAGAGGCTAGTAGGACTGGAAGGAATCCTCTGGCAACAGGACGCCGGCCGAGCAGGTTGTGAAGATCGAGACGCTCCAGGATTCTCAGCGATACGACACCTGTCGCATATGAAATTTGCAAAAGACTCTCACCGAGTGCAACAACATGCTTCAGGCTTCATGAACGAGAACAAGCAGTTTCATGTTATGCATGATAGATGTGTGTTCTATGAATTATTGTATTATGCCACTTGTATATTGTTGTTGGGTACCCGGGTATCACCCACTGCATTTTTGCAACATGCCTTGTTTGGGCACAAAAGTCTCCCAGAACTCATCAATCTTCAATATTCAGTTTCAGGACGAAAATTCAACAGTCTCCCCAGAATCTTTACTCTTCAGGCTTCAGTTTCAGGATTAAAAGTTCTTTGGAACCTTAAACTTAAAAACATGGATCTTGGGGGGAGTTAGCATGCATATTTATATAGACATATGTATACAAATATTTTCTATTTTTCATTGTATATTTCATGTTTTTTTGTTGCATTATGTTGTCTGTTCATTATGTTGTCTATTGCCATATTCGGTACTCTATATTCTTTATAACATTCAAGATTGAGTGCTTTGTACATGCGCTAATTTATGTCGTGTTATAGAAGCTCTCCCTCATTTCAAGCCTAGCGCCTGATGAACCCAAGTGGCTCTAATTCCCCCGGCCCTGGAGGAGGCCAAGCCCGCGAATTCCGTGCGCTCAAAGGCGGAGGATCCCGCAGCTTTGTGTTTTGCAGTCGGGGCATTGGCGCTTGGCGCTTGGCTTTGGGGGTGGCCCCTTCGGGGGCATCTTTGCCCGCAAACAGAACTCATGCATTCGTACAGGAGGTTGGGCGCTGTTGGCCCCCGCCAAACATCCTGCTGGAATTCTTCGCCCATGAAAATTTAAACGCTACGCGACCCGCCCCGGCCCAGCGCATCCACGTGAGCATGGTGATTCCGCAGCGCCCAAGTCGCTGGACCCCAAGCAATAAGGGTTGGGTTTAGGGTTTATGGTTTTTGGGTTTAGAGTTCAAGGTTCAAGGTTCAAGGTTCAGGGTTTAGACGGTGGGGGCAGAGGGGGGGAGGGGGCAGGGGGGGGGGGCAAGGGAGTGGGGGGGAGGGGCGGGGCAGGGGCGACAGAAGCAGGGGACGGGGCTGAACCGTCCGATTGCAGATCGTGGTCGCCTACAAAAGTTACTCGTACCCATTCCAGGCAAAAAAAGGGGGCCGACATGTGGCTTTGGGCTTGGGGGGGGGGTCACAACCTATACACCTTCGGCCCGAGGCCTCGGCGGATTTCCTCATTCTTGTTTCCTTTTTCCTCTTTCTGATGTCTATGAATATGGCGAGCCTGGAGCAGCAATGCAGCCTGAACTTCAGCTTGGCCATAAAGCTGCTCGCCCACCCTGTTGAAGCTCATACCATACTTGGGTAACATACCTGTATCGAAAGCCCGGCGATCGGCGAATACATCGCCGCGTCGACTTGGGCGAACCCCAAAAGCCACCTGCTTCCCCTCCATACTGTATGGCTCAAGCCATTTTGGACCGACCAGTTTGTCCGGATCGTGTCTCGCGCCCTGCCTTCGCTCCGTTTTCCATTCGTCACCATGGTGGCACGCGAGGGACAGCTTCACTACGAAGGCGCCGAGGATGCGGTTGAAGAAGTTCTCTTGTCGGAGGCTCCCGCTCATCCACCAAAAGGTTCCCGTTGGTACCTTGCCGGTATCAGCGTGGCCATGCTGGCCTTGGTGGGTTTGGCGGCGAAAGCTGCCTTTCCATCATCCCTCTCCTTCACCAAGTCCAAGAGCACGATCGGCCTGGACGAAGTGCAGCACTGGGAGGACATTCCGGGCATGGACCAGGTGATTCTCAAGGCGCAGAGCCTGAAGCATGACAAGCCCATGCGCAACCTCAACGACCTCTTCTATGATTCGCAGCCCGAGGAGCTGCCCTGGATCAGAACGGAGTGCGTCATCGACGTGGTTCAAGCAGCAGCATACCTCGACCAGGCCGTTGTCTTCCTCTACAAGGCCATCGACTACAACGGCCTTGAGTGCCCAGACAACTCGCCGGTGGGCTGCGCTGCCAGCGTTGCTGGCTTCATCACCTCCATCTCCTGGATTGCCTCGTACTTGTCCTTCGCAGCGAACGCCTGTGGGCAGGCAGTCAACTCCGGGGCACTTTGTGCTGGCGACTTCACCGCCCTCATGGCCAACTTCGGAGAGATCGCCACGGTGGGCGCCGCGGTGAAGGCGGACTGCGACTTCGGGAAGAACGTGGTCAGCATCCTCACGAATCCGGACCCCGTGAGCCCGCCTTGGGCGCAGTTCGTGCCAGGCGGCGCCGGACCCGAGGCGGAGAAGATCCTGGCGATCAAAGGCCACCAGGAGGCGAACCGCAACCGTGGCTTCGACATCGCACAGTGCGTGGCGGACGTGACCAATTCGGCCTCGTACATCGTGCGCGTCATCCTCCAGATCCGCACCGCGGCTTCGGCCTGCCCCGACCCGAAGGCCTGTGCCATCAACATCATGAACATCATCTCGTCCTTCGCCTGGATCTCGCAGTTCACGGCGCTCGCAGTGTCGGACTGCCAGGTCGGCGCTGACCAAAAGGCCGGGAGTATCGAAATTGTGCTCCGTCAAGTACAGATTCTAACGAGATGCAGTGATGATGGCGGCTTTCTGTTATGAGGGTTCGGCTCCTCTTGAGATGTGGCGTCTTTTCTCTTATGAGGGTCGCTCCTAAGATCTCCAGGCCTTGTGCACGGCCGACATCTCGGACATGGTCGCAGCGGTCACCAACGGCCCTGCCGCCGGCATCGCCTCCACCTCCGACTGCGCCGACCTTCCAGACCCATCCGCCGAGGAGATGCACCTCCCCATGGACTGAGGCGAAAGCCCAAGCGTCTGGGTTTTGCGAGGTCGACCCTGGTCTGGTTCAGCAGCACTCTAGCAGCTAGCAGCACTCTAGCAGCTCTAGCAATTTCGAGTTTGGGTCTATTTGGGTTTCAGCGCTGATTTGAGTTCAGGCGTTGACCGGGTGCAAAGAACCCATCGATGCTCCAGGCACCGTCATGTCGTCGCAAGCTTTGGCTTATCTTTTCGGGGCCACCTCGAGGCACTTCTGTTTGACCCCGCGAAGATGTTTGCGCGATGCTTTTAGAGTAAATTTTGCAGAGACTGGTATAGACTTTCCATGCGTTCCGGCTGCAGATGACATCCACGTTGCTTCTCGACATGGTAGGCAGCCGTGGGCGCGGCAACACATCTGCCATAGGCGTTGTGTCTTGCCATCCTAAAAATGTTGGGAGCTCTTTCCTGCTACAAGTAGTGGCAGGTGAAATCGTTGACTCTACAGAGACAGTGGGTTGGCATGCCTCGCCTGGATTGTCCGAGCGTGGGCGACTAAAACCGGGAAAGATTGCCTCAGCCCAAGATCCCTAGAAAACAACAAGCTTCATAGACCCTCACAACCTTTGGAGAAGAGCCTGGGACCTAAACACCAAAACCCTCTTAACAGCCATAGAAGCTGAAAAGCCGAAGTGTCCCCTTCGAAGCCGAAGACGCTCCCAAGACTTCCAAAGCCCAGGAGGAAGAGACTGCGGACTTCGGGCCTACGGGGGCCGTGTGCCTTGGCCTTCCTCGAAGCACTTCCTTCGTGTCAAGTGGTTTACCCTAGGAATCCCTGGGACTTCCGCGGATTGCAGAGCCGTGAAGGGTGGTGTGATGTGGCCTTCTTTTTGTTGCAGGAGGTGGCGCTGGTCACACTATAAGGCTGTTTTCGATTCCAGCATGACGTGTGCTCCACAGCGCCCCGAGGTTTGTGGATGATGAGGACTGCCGCGGTCAGTTTGTCAGGTTGTGCCACAGTCCTGTGGCCTGATCTGTCAAAAGAGCAACCTGGAAAATGCACAAACATCCCCCAAAGTTGTAGACTGTGAAAGAGCCAGAGAGCGAAGCCACCGAAGCGGAAATCTTAAGCCCGCCCCAGCGACTGAAGAAAACCCTTAGAAACCAGAAGCCCTGCAATGCGTATCGGGCTGCAGTGTGAGCTCTCTTGAAACAAATTGGCAGCCACATGGATGCGAAGCTGTCGATAGTGATGCGACACAGCTAGGGGAATGGCAAGGCAGAAGCTGTGCACGTAATCCTATACGCTTTCTTGCGGGAATGACGGCCTCAAAAGCCCCTCAAAGGCCACAAAACGAGTCGGCGAATCGCCAGGAGTCGCTTCTCGGTGCGGCGGCACCGGCGCAGCGAAAAGGCCTCAGCCTGGGAACAAGAGACCCAGACTCTGTCAGAGGAGAGCTAGTTTGTAATCAAGTTTGCTGTACACTTTGGATCAAGGATTCAGGCCGTAGAGCCTACGGCTGCAGGCTTTGTGCTTGCGGCGGTGAGAATCGACGCCAAAGAATGGCAAGAGGATCCAAACCCCGTGTGGGACTTCTCCTGCCAGTTCCTTCGTCGAATGACACGGAGTCCTCCTTGAACCTTCAAACGCCCTAAAAACGTGAAGCCCTCTTCATGAGAGACACAGGATCCTCCAGAAGCGGACCTCGCTAGCATTGTCAAAGGGGACAATTGTCCAAGATGTTTTCTCTCTCATTTTGTGTTCGTCCCCTTGGTCGCTCGTGATGACTTTTGCATCCGTGTTGGGGGTCCGGTAAATTTCAGGGTGTCGAGGCCTGGGCAAGTCGATGCAAGTCACCTTTCCACAGGCAAGCCGCGCCCGGCCGACCTCGACGACGATGCCGAGGCTTGTGGTGGGCTTCAGGCTTCAGTTGTGGGTGCAAAGGATATGGTCGGTTGGCTCGAGTTCAGGATTGGGGGCTTCGTGTGAGAGTTCTTGTGTTCTGGGTGAACTGCTTCGCCGTGTGCCTGCAAACTATAGCCTTCTGATTTCGGAGAAAGCCCCAAACCCGTGTAGCTGAATGCTGGGCAGTGCGACGCAGGCTGAGGATGCGATGGATCGGAAGTACAGTGTCCAGGCCAGAAGAGGGTAATCTCATTTTGGTGTCGAGTTAAAAAGAGACACATGTTGCAAATAGAGGCTCGGCAAGGAGCACCAGTTCCAGTTCCAGCAGACAGCACGCTAAACAGGGTGAGCTCCAGCCGGTGGCAGAGCTGGCTACAAGACGGACAATCGTAACTTCGACTTGTGTTGAGCTTCACTACGAACGAGAAACGATCAAGCCGAGTGGGGCCCCAGGGCCATCATCCAACTGTGAGTGCGATCCTGCGAAGACGGAGCCGTTCATTTCCCCCTGTGGCGAAGTTGCGCGCAAGCTCCGGCAGATCCCCCTTCGGAACTTCCCCTTCGCGGAATGTCCGGAATCATCCGCAATCGTCCGGAATCATCCGGAATCCTGGAAGGTTTGCTGAAGGATCGCCCTCTGAGGATCCTGTAGGGCTTAGTCACAGTCCTCGTATCCGTGTGCAGTTTACGGCGTCGCGACAGGAGCACTGCCAGGCTTTCCACCTGGTAGGAGGGTATCATCAATGACGCTCTCATTGCGCTCTCTTTGCGTTCTCTCTTCCTTTGCAACCGACAACAGCTGGACCTGGTCAGGGATTAGTTTAGCCTAAAGGCGATCTGGTCAGTGTGCTCTTTCCCATTGCACATAACGAGTTGGTGTCTTGGTATCTCCCGACACTTGCATTCCCTTCAAGTGAAGTTCGAACAAAGCCCTTTGCATCTATCACTCCATCATGGGAGGAAGTTTGTGTTTCCCAAGCAGATCAGATTTGAATTCGACCGAATTCGGTAGTTCGGCAGATTCCAAAGGCTCGCGGGGCCAATGGATACAGTGGGTAAAAGAGGTCAGGGATTAGTTCAGCCTAAAGGCGATCTGGTCAGGCAGACATTGAGTCTCCATGCAGATGCGCATCCGATAGTTTGCGCTAAGACAAAAAACAAGCTTACAGTCCCTGCCGTCAGATCCTCTTCCCCGCAAGCCTGCAGCCTCCTATGCAGGTCACGCCGCCGCATGAGGAGGAGTTAGGGTATTTTTGCTGTAGGAATGTTAGGGTAAGATGGGTAAGCTGTGTTGGGGTGCAGGGCAGATAGCTTTCTGCCGAAGCCCGAGTCTGGGTGATGCTCTAAGACTGCACTCGCAGCGTGCACGTTTACTCGAAGATGTCAGCATGGTGCGCAGTATCCTGAAAACCCAGGAGCACGCTGCCTGGCCTCCGCCGACGCCACTGCATGTGGCGAGCGAGGAGGATTGGGGGGCTGAGTGGTGGAGTGTTCGGGGTCCGGAGCAGTTTCAAGAAATCAAGGGCAAGGCAATAGGCTCGTTCTCTTCATGCCGTCCGGGCTTTTGCTCCATTTTGAGGTTTGGGCACTATCTCGCTTGACTTCATGGCGTATGTTATTAACTTTTTTGCGGGGGTGGAGGGGGTGGGGGCGTGGGGGGGGTGGGGGGTGGGGGGGTGGGGGAGGGGCTAGGAAGTTGTCCTGATGGGATGCTGCTTCCAGGTATGCATGGCATCATGCGAATCAAGAGGTAGCATGGGTGTAGCAGGTGTCCCACCAACTAGCTAGCACGTGATCTAACTTCGCACAAGGCTCCTCGAACTTCAGGGCACACTGTGCTGCTCCACTACGATACACGTCCGTGTTCATAGGGTAGTCGCCGGCTTCGAGCCCTAAGCCCTAAGCTCCCTGAAGGCCCATGAGGGCCCACGAAGACCCGAGGGTTCCATAGTCTTGTTCCCCAGGCCGTGGGTGATGCTGAGCCGCAGGACACGCGAGCATGAAGCCAGAGAAGCCCCAGCTCCCAAGACCCAACTTAGATGAAAACTCTATCAGAGTTCTATTTGCTCATACACATAAATTAGTACAAGTATGCAAGCTTGCGTCATAGTACATCGCCGGAGTTGCGTGAGACGGCAGTATGTTGTGCAAAAAATGAACACGCATACACAGATGTATGTGTATATGCAAATGTGCACATAAACGTATGAAAATTCACATACACATACATAGCAATATGTGTGTGTGTGTGTGTGTGTGCGTGTGTGCGCGTGTATCTATCTATCTATCTATCTATCCATATATATATATATATATATACATACATACATACATACATACATATACATGTATACTGTTAGTATGTATGCGCATTGCGTACATGCGTAAATACATATTCATATACATACACATGTATGTATATACACATGTATATCTACGTATATGTATATGTATATGTATATGTATATGTATATGTATGTGTATGTGTATGTGCATATGTATATGTATATGTATATGTATATGTAGATGTAGATGTAGATGTAGATGTAGATGTAGATGTATATGTATATGCATATGTACATGTATATGTATATGTATATGTATATGTATATGTATATGTATATGTATATGTATATATATATATATACCTGCGTGTACACACGCGTGACATTTGTATCTTGAGCCCGAGCAATTCAAATTCAAGCTTCGCAACCTTGGTCGTGGAAGGACGCCTGGCAGCCAGCCAAGGAAGTTTATGGGGAGGCGGACGAGGTTGAGGAGGAGCCAGCACAGGCCCATCTTACAAGCCCCTGAAGCCCTGAAAATTTCAGGGGTTTCGGATGTCGGGGTTTATGCGGGACTTCGGGGTGGCGGGTTCGATGGGATATCAGTTGCAGATCCTGCTTGGATTTCACAGGTTCCTACGACATGTGCGACTCCTGTGAACATCGCAATTAAAGAGCCCTCCTCTGATAAACGCGTATCCGGGTCCCGCAAAGCCTAGGCCCTTGAACCTAAAGTATTCGACTTGATGCCAAATCCCAACTCCCAAAGAATCATAGCACCCGCAAGAATGGGTGAGTGTTGCCCCTTTGGACAAATTCGTTGGTTCAGCACAGGTAAGCCAGCTAAGCCAAAGTGTAGGTCTCACGTACAAGAAGATGAAGAGAGACTCCGAACAACCTCGCGGAAACGGCATGATGGATTAGCAACTGCAACATGATTGATGGAGGTCGCACTGCAGGCCTCGACCCTACGACCCCACCACAAACTTCTCGCCACTGCAGAGGCGCAGGAGCCAGCGAAGGTCGCCTTCTCCGAGGCCGCGCGAAAGATTTCAAACAAAAAAATCTGCGGGTGCGGAGAGTGATTCGTGTGAGCTCAAGCCGCTTTCCGGGTTATCAGGGTTCTTGGATTTGGCATTCTTTTGGTGGTGGAGGTATGGGGTGCCAGAGAGGCGGGGGTGGGGGGGGTGGGTGGCTCTCGGGAGGGTCCCCTCGCTTGCGAGGCGGTCGAAGAACCACCTCCACCAGCTGTGGCAACCTTCGAGGCCTTGCGGGGATCTTTTCTTGGGTGTGGTTGGGTGTCGGCTTCATCTTTGACCTTCAAGGGTATCTGGCGGAAGGCACCTTCGTCTGGAGTGACACCTCTCAGTGATGGGAGGCAGTAACACTCACAGGTTCCCCAGGTGCGAAACTGGACTTGGCAACGGCCGTTCGATGTAGATCCATCACTTCGGGATATGCCGTTCACTCTAGGAAGAAGGAGACGTTTGTTGAAAGGCTGTGGGCACTTCGGCACGGTCACATCGGCACAGCATCCGAGCGGCGGTGCAAGCACTGCGGGGATCTTCCAGCGCTCGCATCATGTGACTCGTCCTTTCCCTGGACAGCCTGTCCTGGTTGGCCTCCGACAGCGGCGTCGAGCGGGTGATCACGATCAACAGTTCAGTGGCCGTGTATGCCCGCAAGCCGGTCGCCGTGCCCTTTTGCTCCCCTGGAGCAAAGTGGGGCGGGGGAATTGAGCAAAATTGAAACCCGAAGTGAATCCATATTGGGGCCCTCCAAGAACGTCTGGCAAGCACTCGCAAGCTTTGCCCAAACATCCCGAAGACCCCAGAAGCCCTGAAAGTCGGCCCCAGGAGTCGCACGAAGTGCTTCCTCCACCGCTGAAGGAGGTAGGGGGAGACGGGGTCACTGTAGCTTTGAAGGGGGGGAATTGTGGCTTTGTCGTTCGGCTTGAGGGAGCTTGGGTGTATGCGGGCGCCAGACCACACAACGATCCAAACTCCACACCGACGCCACCATTGAATAGCTCCAGGCTTGATACCGACACCCGTTTCGTGAATCGTCGGCCCGTTTGGGCGATGAACGGTTCAGGCTCCAAGATCGATTCCCCTTTCAAAACGGCTCCAGCTCCACATTGAACCCCTTGTGAACCCTCCCCCAAAAAATTCTGCACCCTCACAGGGCAAAGGCGTCACGCCGGGCCTGTCGTTGCCGGGACAAACCGCACTTGCGACTTTGCGGAGATTGGGGGTTCTTTCATTAATTTGGTGCAGCGGGACATGGTCTTGTTGAACAGTGTGCTGTGCTTAGCGCAGGCATCTTTTCCCAATTTAACCACAGGACAGGACGTATTCACCTTTTCATACAATATGTTAACCGCTAGCTGATGTTACAGCCAGCGGGGCCGGCGGGGGCGGCGGGGCCGGCGGGGCCAGCGGTCATTGCTTGTTGCTGTCACGATGGCTCGTGTGGTCTGGGAAGGGATGGCATTTATATTCCGCTAAGCGTCTGCTCCAATGGCGGTTGTAACAACTCAAAGTTCGCACCCCTAAGAGGCTTCAAGATGAACGAGTTTAGTTTAAGTTTAGGGCTTCGGTGCCTTCGAATTCCACGGCTGAGGTTGAGGGGTCTCCGTCGTCGGCTGCTTCGCTCGGAGCCCGGCGCTGCGCGGCGTCAGGGTGTGTAGGCGGTGTAGGCGGTGTAGGCTTACGTTGCAGGTCCAGGCAGCGTTATCTTGGGAATTCATTCTCCTGCAAGGGGTCGGATTGCCTGAGGCCGTGCGTTACGCCTGGACAAATGCAGAGCTTCCGCATCTGCGTGCCGGGATCGCCAGGGGGTCTGCGCAGCTTAAGCATCCCCAAGCCCTGAAGTTCAGGGCGGCCTCGGAGGTTTTGAAATGTTCTGGAGAGGTGCTTTTAGGTCCCGGCGAATTGCGGGTGAGTCTGCGGAGCTCTTCCCAGCCTCCACGAAGTGCCGTCAAAGGCATTTCCTGAGACCAAGAACCCGAAACCCACAAGCCTCCCAAGAACCAACGAAAACCCGACAAAAAACACCAAGGCCGCAGCCGTATCCTGGCGTCCAGCGCCGCGCCCATCTTTCCTCGGCGTCGGACTTTTTAATCCCTAAACACAGCTGAAGCTGTCTTGATTCCTAAGCCACACAACAGAGCTTCGAAGTCCACGGAAACCCTCAGCGCGTGGAGGGGGCTTTCCTTGCTTATCTGGGTTTGGGGTCTGTGGGGACCTGCCCATCGATCTAACTATTTGCCTATAGAAAGGTGCTTTCCTGTATCCTGAAACCCTAAACCCTAAAGCCCTAAACCATGTGAGGATACGCAAGTCGCCGAACCTGGATGACAAGCACAATCGCTTCCTCCAGGTCTGGGCTACAGACTCTGCTTTGTAAGACTGGTCCCCTTAACAGGCAAGTTCGTTCCTAACTGCAAAAGGGGATCCTAACGGAACCGCCGCCTTGTTATGCCACACGGATACGGAGCCAAACTCCAAACCCTGCCCGCTGCCTCTTCAGCGCCGACATCCCCTACCACCGCGCGTGGCCTTGCTGCTGCTCAGGGGAAGTCCCGCGCCGTTTTGGAAACAAGGCCACAGTCGTCGGGCACGCTGCGGGCAGCCTCGCTTCAGTGCTGGCCACCGTGGTCGCGTTGCCAGGCGACCGCATTCGCGAAGCGGTGCCACCAAGCCTCCGGCAGCAACAGCAGTCTCAGCTTGTTGAGGCTCTCCACGATCGCGTACAGCGTTTGCAAGAGCCGGAGCAGCCTCGATTGCTCTTCAAGGTGATGCCCCGCGTGCCGCTCAACCAGCTGGCGGCTGCGTCTAGGCCTGTTTTCGACGTCGGCCATTCTTTGACCGCAGCCGGTCCACCCTCTGCCACAGGCTTCGGTGAAAGCACGAACTGCAGTCCTGTTTCCAACCATAACCTCTAAAGCTCACAGGACGGAAAGTTCGTCACAGGCACAGCCGCAGCCTCAATCTTCCTCTGCATAGGGGACTTGCGGACGACCCCGAGCTGCGCTGTTTTTTTTCTTGCCGCTGAGCAAGAAGACATGACACGGATGTAGGCCAATGTTTAGGGCTTAGGGTGATGTGGAGCTGGGCTCTTCGCACCCTGTCATCTATCATGCAAGTTGTCATGCTGGAGTCCCATTGTACGCAGTATGGCGCAGTCAACACTTCTGCACGTCCGTGCAACAGGAGTGACGAAGTCATGTCTTCCGACGAATTCTCGAAATCTCTCAGGTCGACAAAGATGGGCAGTGGGTCAAGCTCAGCGGCAAGCATTTCTTGCCCGTGAAGGTCACTTGGATGCCACTTCCATTCGCTTACAGAAGGATTTCGGAGGGGCTCAGCTCAGAGAGGGCTCTTCACAGCCAGCTCACATGCACCAAACTGCTACCCTGACCCTGACGCAAACCACGTAGACTATCGTTGGCTATCGTAAGCCGAGCCGTGTTAACCTCTGAGGTTGGAGGCATCCAAGTGCTTCATCCTGTTGAAGCCCAGACCATTCAGGAGGTTGGGGGGTTGGGGGGTTGGGGGGTTAGGGGGTTGGGGATGGGGATGGGGATGGGGTGAAGGCTCAGAGATAAGAGGGGGAACTCAGCGGAGAAGTAGCATTAAGCCTTGCTGTAATAAGCACCCCCTCAGGATTTGTTGTGGGCCTGGGCCCCTTCTCTCTTGTTGCAGGCTTCTAGAACAGCTTTGCAGGTGGGGAAGCAGGTGGTTGCAAGTTCTGAGACAGTGTTGTTGAAGCGAACCATTCGCAGCCAAGCTTTCTCATTGTCTCTCTCTGTTACCATCCACACCACCTTACTACAGCAATAGTATAGATAGGGATTACGGTGCGGGACGGTGACCTTAACCCACAAGCTCAAAGACCCAAGCTGCTTGGCAAGGACGCTCCACAGGAACCGTCACCCAAGCCGGCAAGCGAGGACGGCCCTTTCGCAGAACCAGCATCCAATGCGGACTGGCACTCGCCCCTGAGCCCCAAACTCCCAGCCCTTAGCCTTCCAACCCTGAACTCTCATGAAGCTCACAAAGCCTTCCTACACAAGTCCTGCGTGCTAGCCATCTGCAACTCCAAGCCCTCAATGCTGCAACCCTGCAGGGTGTCAGTCGCAAGTCTGGGGTCCTTAGGTGTTCTGGCTTGAGGCTAGGGCGGCTGGGGCTGACTTGTCTTGCGGTTGAAGGCTTGGGCGCTGTATTCCGTTATGGCATGCTCGAACGTGGCCGGATGTTGTGCAAGACCTGAGGCCTTCCAAGCGGCGCATGCGCCACAAGCACTGAACAATCGCACTGGAGAAAGTACCACCCTAGACCTTTTCTCATGATCTGATGGCAAGAACGGTGTCAGATGGTTTCGCTATGACCACCATCCTTTTTGCGCGGAGAAAGGCGGGGCAAGTCTGAAGAGCCATATCCCGAGTGCCACGAAGGACGAGCCGCCACCGATTCGGCAAGCACCGGTGCAGATAGTGCCGGCGCCAGAGCCGGCAGGCTACTGGCCGTCGGGCCCTCGAAGTGTAGCCGTAGCTTTTCATGAGGGTGTGTCCGCACAGCCGCGAAGCCGGGGCCTATTCTCGCCTACTTCAAGCCCCCTAAGTTCCTGGGACTCTGCTGAGGTGGACTTGCTGTGCGCGCGCCTTAGTACTCGGGTGGAGACGGTGAGGCTCTTAGCCCCATAAGAGTCAGCTGTTCTCCGAACTGGGCTGTTGTCATTATCGTACCTTAATAAGCGGAGAGTCTCAGGGCCTAGGGCATGGTTTCGGTCTTGGGGGCAGCAAGGCTTCCATTGTGGGAGAACACTTTCGGTGCTTATGGGCGCCTCGCATGGAGGGTCCCATGAATTCGATTTCCCCAATGGCGCCAACAGAAAGAATGAAGCCCTCGGGCCCCATATCAGGCTGGAAGTGGGAGACGGCCACAGGGTAGTTGTAACAAGAACGTCCCAACGGAGAACCCAGCCTTCTCCCAATGAAGCTTTCCAAGACTGGGCCTGCGGTATCCTTGGCGGTCAACGAGTCCAATGATCTCCACGTGCACCCGCCGGACTGCTTGTGTTTTCGGGTGTGTTGAGTTCTGCCGAGCTTCGCTCTGCCGAGCCATGCTGAGTCCATATTCGGTTGGGTTTAGTATGAACCGCTCCTGGCACCGAACCGTTCAGGGTTTCCCGAATCGTCCCGAATCCGCGTCTGCTCCGCACCAAAGGCTTCAAAGCCCACGGCTCCGTGAGCTGTTTTCCATAAAGGCCGCAGCCCAGTAAATCTCGAGCTGTCGAACCTCACCACGACAGGCCAAAAAACACCCTCAAGCCCTGAGTTTCTACAGAGCCACGAAGAAGCCAATCCCCAAAGCCCCTCACCAAACATTCTTCCGACGCATATGGAGGTTTTTGAAGCCTTCCGGATAGTCTTGTTCCCCGAAGCACCGTCTCGAGGAGAGCGCGGCCGGTGGCGGGGAATCGGGGAGCTCCTCGACGTGGGATGTGTTGGACGTTCCATGGGATGTGTTGGACGGTGTTGTTTTTTTCATTTTTTTCCCTGCTTCCCCAGTTTGGAGTGCTGTGGAGTGCCATGCCCAGCTCCCCCCCGAGCCATCCCGAGTCCCAAGCCAGTCCCAAGCCCAAGGCAACCTCCTGACCCCCATCGTCGTCTCCAATGCCGTCGGCTGCTAAGCTCCGGGTTTAAGGTCTGGGGAGGTTCCTTTGCATGAAGCTCTGGTCTTCTGGCTCCTCTAAGGTCAAGCATTTTCTTTGAGCATTGCTTGTTTGCAGTCCTCAGTTCCAGACCCTACAATATCCTAAGCCGTAAACGCTCAACCCTAAGTGTGGAATCACGCCCGAAGCGACATTCTGAGAGCCAATCCACGAAGCCCCACGTCCCTGAATCTCAGAAGACGGTTGTAGTCACAGTAGCATCAGACAGGCGGATGAACCTTGTTAGTGTCTCCCACCCCAAACTTGAGAAAATTCGTCAGGCCGGATACGCCCGCCTTGGCCTCAAGTTGCTTCTGGGTTTACGAGTTACAAGTGTGGTTACAGCTTTCTGAGTGAATCTGTGCAGAATCAACTCGCTCAACGGTGTCGATGTATTTGTGGTCGTGGCCTAGCTGCTGCCTAACATGAGGCTATGTTTCTTGGCTTAAGTTGTTGTACAAGCCAACAAGTGGACCCTGTCTTCCGGCTGGTCTTGCTTAGCCTCATACAGCCTATTGCGGATTGATCGCCAGCCCGGGCAACTGCAATTTGCGCAGCAAACCACAGGAAAAGGCTATGCTGCCGGGCTGCACGGGCAAAGTTCGCACCTTTGAAGCATGCGTATCTTGACATGCCCCCGAGAAGCCTGAACCTCCACGGGCCAACGCAAAGCAGGGAGAGGACGACACATTCGCTCATGTAGCCAGGGGAACACGGTCAGAGATGCAGGTCCAAGGCAAGACAGGACAGGACACGACTCTCACGACAGACGCCCCCAGCAGACAGAGCAGCCCCAGAGGTCCCGCGGAAGACCGGCCTGTGGAGAGCTCAGTTGCCAGTCCAGCGCCTCAAAGTTGCAACCCTTCAGAGCCCCAGGCCATGTCCGCCTAAACCCCCTCATCCCATCCTTGGTTTTCCTCTCCGCCCAGAAGACGATGAGCGTCACTGGCTTCAAGAACCTCCGGATGCCGCCCGCAGAGGTGCCGAGCTCTGGGCTTCGAAGGGCCCGAAGCTTTGTCTTAACTGGGGTTTCGAGTTTATTGGCACCGTTAGGCAACCTGAAGATGATGGGAGAAACATCGGGGACCTCAAGTTGGGAAGTTGCACTGAGAAGGCCCCCCCCCTAAACCCAGACCCTAAACCTTGAACGAGGCCTTCAAGAAAACTCCTCCAAACGAACAACTCCAAACTGGCCTCAGGGTTTCGGCCCCGGGGTCTCCACGCTGCCCAGGCCGGGGCCCCCTATAGGGTTTAGGGCGCTTTCGGGTCATAGGAGTCATCGGGTCATAGGGGTTTCAGATGTCAGAGGCGGCTCACGGAGGCTGATGTGGACCCCCTAACCCATCAGTTTGTTGAGTGCCCTGCGCCCCATGCCGCCACTCCGACCGTGAACCACTCGACGAGGTGACCCTTAATGAGGACCTCAGCCATTTCAGCATCCTGTTCCGGTACCAAGTTCCTTGCTCTTTCCCTTACAGCAACGCAGCTTGGTACCTGCTTTCAGCAGCTCGCAAAGTGGCATAGTGCACTTGCGCTGCCATGCCACGAAAGAAGCGCCCCGCTGCTGCATCGACTGACGCAAAGCTCCGGCGAAGGATCGCCGAGCTCGAGCAAGACAACAGGTAGAGCTAACGTCAGGAAAGCTATCTCCTTGGAGCTTTGCGTGGTTGTGCTTTACGATTCTCTTGGTGGGCCACAAGTGGCCTCGAGGCCTTATCTGGTTGACATTTCAATAGTCAAAGGTACGCGCGCGCGCGCGCGCGCGCGCGCGCGCGCGGGGGGACCTCTCGTTTCGGTCACCTCCCGCCCCCTCCGCCCCGAGAAGTCAAATGCTAATTGAAGTTATTGCAGGCCCTCCCCCACGCCCATTCCCCCCTCCCCGTTTTTCAGGCTACATGTGGGTGCGGCTCAAAAGTCTAGGTATGTAACTGGCTCCCGGGCATCTTTCCGCGACATAGGGTTTGTAACAAAGCCGTTCTGCTTGCGACAAGCAGTCCGCGACAAACCTCCGCGACAAGCCTCCGCGACAAGCTTTTGCGACAAGCCCCTTCTTGGAACTGCATGGGTTTCGTATCTCTTTTTCAAGACAGCGCGAAACAGCCGCGACAAACCCCGCGACATACGTCTGAACCAAGTGGGCGCGACATACGTATGTAACACAGGCGGGTGGCGGGACACCGCGGCATACCCCTATTTAGAGCCACAGCCATGTGGGATTGAGACCGCGGG